CTCGATCTTTCGTTTAGTTTGTGCCTTCTGTTCCCTGATTGTGAAACACGAAGACGAGCCTCACAGCTTCCGTTGCTGCAACTGGGAAATCCTCTTTCGCCCTCATCTCGTCTTTCAGGATTCCAATACGAAGCGGATGCAATTATGCTGATGAGTCCGCCCTGCTGAATTTCCTTTGGCACCTGTCCCAGTTGCTCGTGTGTTCTTTAACACGTTTTTCAACTTTCTTTCGGGGCTTAAAGAAACAAGTTTGATCCTGCTCTATTAACTCCATTTTAATTGATCTCGCACGAAATTTTAAGTATCTGCTTGACCAGTTGTTAACGAACTTATCTTTGCATTACAATCAAAGACGTGATGAGTCAATTAGTTGATGACTTTTCTAGGCAATGAAAGATGAAAGAAACGGAAAGAGACTCGAAAGTTTTTACTGCCGAGTAAAACCCAAAGTGAGAATTCCCACCCAAAAAGAAATTCATCCGGTATTAGATTTGGAATTCAGCGCTCGTTCGTTAGAGTTGGGTGAGGAAATGAGGAAGAGTAAAGCGGATCCAGTCCTTTGGGCGAAGATTTGAATGAAACTCACGTTCTGTGAGCTATTGCAATAGATTTCCCACGGTCCGGTCTCATAATTATTGCACTTGAGGTGAGAACAGTCATTCTCGTATGAGGAAAGAGGAATTTTAAAATACTTTCGAGAAAAAAAAGTTTAATTAGGTTCTTAATTATTTCTTGGAATTTTAGTCCTACACCCAACGATGAGTGTAGGAGTGTAGGTATTTCCTCTTCATATCCCTCTATCACTCAAGATAGAGGGGTATTAACAGGAAATACCACAGTAACTGCAGGGTGGCTCAAAACTGCTCCCCATTTTGAGGAATAATAACTTTTCGTCCATGAACCGTAGAGTTTTCGAGAAAACTGCATAGGGAGAATGACTTTAAACAAATAAATTCTTCGAGGATACGCGAGCACATTCCACTTAAATTAAACACGTGGTCAGAGGTACAGTTACCGTGCCGAGACGCTCTTCACGCGCCCTCTGGCGAAATTTATTAGCTCTCCGGGCTTTTGTCAGGTGAGTTTTTGCGACAATAAATTATTTCTGACGTTTCGATTAAGCTTTCTGTATGGCAACTGGTTTCACTTAAAAAATGCGATCCAGAGGGTCACAAGAGCCAATCTAGGAATCTCTTCAGGGGGTGCCGAATTGCCCGACCATGCGTTGGCAGGAAGTTCTTCCCAAGGAATTTTTTTTTACTTTGAAACGCTTCTGCAAGACCACTGCAGAAATGACAGAAACTGCAAAAATGAAGAAAGAAATTGCGGTTGTTACGAAAGAAAACAAGAGATGGTGTCAATATCAGACGCCCTACGAGGCGGTCGAAAAGTCCCATTGTGTTCGTCGCCACTTGAAAAAAAAAATTGAAGCTCCCCTTCGAGTAAGGCCTGAACCTGAACCGCGCATCGCTTCCAACGTAAACATACACCGCATCCAACCCCTTGGCCAGGAGTCGAGCAAGAAAACGATGCCCGGAATTCCGATTCATCGCTCGGCATCGTGCTGCAGGTGTCCTCAAGGGAGGGGGGGGCTCGACAGCTTCGATACTTGATAAGCCATAGTCTCATTTTCCTGCGTTTTTCACTCAGTAAGGATTCCCGCTGTCGATGATCTGACTTTGGACGAGGAAGAACCGGTCTCGTCTCCTTCCTCTATGCCTTTTGGTTGCAACAGATGGAACAAGGCGAGCCTGCACTCCGGCTTCATAACATTGTGACGTGCTCGACAACTCATTCTACACTCACCGTAATTGTGAAAGGTGTGAAAAAAGCTTTGACCTTCGACCTATTCAACGCTTTACTCCCCATATCTGTATATCTTTTGGTTGGCGAGATATGGATTACTGAAGTCAAGTCGATTTATGTGGCCCAGCGTGTATAACGCATGTAACCTACTCATTTTATCAGACACCACCAAAAAGTGATTGAGTGAGTTTATTTTCGGCGTTAATTATCCATGAGGTTTCGCATCGATGGAAGAACGAAACATATTGATAAATCAACGCGACAGAAGAATGAAATATAAGTATAACGTGGAATTGCTACGAATGAGGACTGACATAAGAAGAGTACTAATAAAATTTCTACAGGTGAATACTGAAGAGTTAAGATTGGAGTTCCTAGAGACGAAAGTCGAGGAAGTCAGGAAACCAGAAAACTACCTTGACCGTCGCGAGAAAATTATTTACAATCTATAAAAAGGATGTTTGAAATTGTCCCCTTTGGAAGGTTCGTAGTGGTCGGACGGAATCAGTAGCCGTTAGGCAAGGATTCCAACATACTGGGTTTCACATAGATTTCGTTTATTCTAATCTAAGTTTACACACCATACGAAGTACCACTTCACCCAGTTAACAAAAAGAAAGAGAATGTACAGGATCTTTCTCAGCACAACTTCGCGAGTGACAGTTGGGTCATTCCACGCCAAATCGACCAGCGAGAAAGCTCGACCATCTCGGATTTTGACGAAAATCACCATACGCGTAGAAGAATCGATTTAAATAATACAATTTCAACCAAATTTTTTTTTATTTCCCACAGATCTCCAGATATATGCATTTTAATTTGACATAATTTTCGCTCCCAGCGCCCATACGGACTGGAATTGTGAAACTGTTTCTGCAATAACTTCCCCTCTAGTTAAGATGTAAGCTTCGTTTTGGTGTCATTTTAATCGTGAGATTGTCCTCTTTAAATTGATTCCAAGTATTATCCTCCTAAGTTGAAACAAGAAGTTTCATTATATCAAACAATTTGATCAAGTTCAGTGGACAATATCGACACTTGCCACCTCGGGAATTCTTAGTTCCAATATTTCTTTTAAAAGTGCATGGTATGCCATTTCTGACGATACCAAGATCAAGAATGGCACTCAATGGCTTGCCGAGAAATGAATTTTTACCTGCGGCAGTAGTGCAAAAATTCCACTTGCTCGAACACTTTGACCGACTTCAATGACCTACCAATGCACTTTCCACTCCGTGAATCCCGACTTATAATACATCAATGAAACGGGCGTGTTATTGCCTTCCTAATGATACCAAATTCAAGGTTGGCACTCAAGGGGTTCATGAGGTTTAATAGATTGATTGCATCGACAGTGCATTTATAGTTACACCTGGGGAATCACAGAAATATGCTAGCCGTTGATGGTTCTGAGACTGAGACTCCCTCACATTTGTGAGAATTATTTCCCGTGGTTGGGGTCTCGCGTTGTGCGTCGATACTGGAAAGGTATGTTATATAATAGATTCCAGAGGGACTCACCGTCGCTAGGGCTGGGACATACTTATCAAACTATGAACCTAACAAACTCTTGATCTGCTACGGGACTTACAGGACTTATTCCCATCGTTCTAAATACTGTACAGTATACAGTGGCTCACAAAAGTGATGCAACACCCACCGATTTTCACAAAAAGTCTAATTTTTCCGCGCACAAAAAAGATCGACCAGTATATTTAGATAGAGCTCAATGTGCACTACAGTTGCAGATTGATTTGTCGGGCATTTGGGTTACTGCTAAGGACATATCACAAAATAAGGTCCGGATGGGTGTTTGCATTACTTTTGGCACTTTGGCCACGAAGCGCAGTTATCGATAATTTGTTCATTCAGAGCATTTCAATACATTCCGTAGGCACTAGCAGATGTTCACCAACGTGTGTAGCCGCCTTTAGCCTTGATCACGTCTTTGATTCTCTCAGGCATGGTGGAGATCAGCTAGGTACAGACCTCCATCTTGAGACCATTCCAAACATCTTGAAGTCGGTCCCAAAGATCTTCTTGACCTTGGATCGGTCAAGGCAAGCTTCGCAGTCGTCGATCTACTTTGTTCCAAACGTGTTCAATTGGGTTCAAGTCTAGTGATTGGGACGGCCAGTCCAGGACACGCATTTCCATCTCCACGAACCACTCCTTGGTCTGCCCCGCAGTGTGCTTGGAATCAGTATCGTGCTAGAATACGATGTCTGGTACTTGCAGATTATACCTGACTGGAGTATCCATCAGCTGTGACCTCAAGAGGAATGACCTTCATGCAAGAATCAAGAGGAAGAAGCCCCTCTTGAAGAAGACCCACCAGAAAAGGCGCCTCATATTTGCCAAGAAGCACGCCAACTGGACCGTCGAGGACTGGAAGAAGGTTATCTGGTTTGATTAGAGCAAGTTTAAGATTCATGGTTCCGATGGATGCACGTACTACTGGAAAAGACCAGATCAAGCCTTAAACGATGCTCATGTGACCCCTGCAGTGAAGTTTGTCGGTGGTAGCATCATGGTCTGGGTCTGTATCACGTTTTATGGAGTCTGCTACCTCTGCCGCATCATTCATGGACTGGATGGTGAGCTTCATTGCAAGATCCTCGACGATGAGCTGATGGATACTTTAGTCTGGTATAATCTATAAGTGCCAGACATCGTATTCTAGCACGATAATGATTCCAATGGTGTCCTGGACTGGTCGATCGATCCAAGGTCAAGAAGATCTCTGGGACCAACTTCAAGGTGTCTGGAATGGTCTCAAGATGGAGATCTGTACAAAGCTGATCTCCACCATGCCTGAGATAATCAAAGACGTGATCAAGGCCAAAGACGGCTACACACGTAGGTGAACATCTGCCAGTGCATACGGAATGTATTGAAATGCTCTGAATGAACAAATTATCGATAATTGCGCTTCGTGGCCAAATTGCCAAAAGTAATGCAAACACCGATCCGGACCTTATTTTGTGAGTTGTCCTTAGCAGTAACCAAAATGCCCGGCAAATGTATCTGAGCACATTGAGCTCTATCTAAATACACTGGCAAGTGAGGGTCGATCTTCTTTGTGCGCGGAAAAATTAGACTTTTTGTGAAAATCGGTGGGTGTTGCATTACTAGTGCATACATGTAGTTCTTGCAAACGTTTTCGACAAATCAAGGTGAGCAGGCAAGACTGCATGTCTTTTATTTTCTGCAGAAAGAATCTTGCGAAGGCATTATTCCCTGTCCATGACAACACCGTGTTGGCCAGAACGGATCTTCTTGTCGCTAAAGCATCCTTTCCTGTAGGACCTCACCGAGTTGATCCCCAGTAGGGAGAGGTTCGGGAAAAAGCCCACGTACATTCCAGCCTCGGGCACTAGGCAATGCTCGATCCCAGCGAAGTTCGGGAGTCTGGCAGACACGCATTTTCTACGGCGATTCGACACCGGATATGCAAGAGCAATCGACAGAAACGAGGACTCACGAATAGACTGTCCAATCACGTTCACCCGAGATGATGATGGACTGTACGCTGGGCATCAGTACATCGGATGAGTCTATCAAGTCTAAATGAGCATTACCAGAGAATACAGTGAGTCCATAAAGCGTGATCGCGTCTTCCTTCCAGTTGTTTTGACGTCCTGCATACCTGCAACGGGAACATGTGCATCAACGATATATCGCCATCTAGGGGATGACATGGACTTACCTGAGGGATGAGACATCGTTGTTTGTAGGCCCCAAGTTCCCACAGTAATTATCTCCGAACACCCATTCAACTATTCCAAAGTCCCCAGAGTTGTAGTTTCTTTCGGTGTAGAATATCCAACTGAAGGAAAAGACCATTGAGAAAGAATGATACCATTTGCCCTGTGGGACTGAGAAGACATGCAAGAGAATCAGGCCCAGCCATGCGAGACCGTCTCGTGGCATGCTGAGTAGGCCCGATCAATTAGTGGCTTCCTTTGAGCAGAGCTTGAAATACAGGGTATTTACCTACCTATCCAGGGTGTCTGGAAAGTCAGGAATCCTAGGATTACAGTTCGTAAATGATGAACCAATATTTCCCTTCCTAGATCAATACTTTGCTGACAAAATTGTATTTCCTCGGCCTAGCGATGTATCACTGTGGAAAGTCAATATTCGTTAAAATTTACTAGTAATATGTCCAGAAACACAACTGTTGCTCCAAACTTCCCACTCAATGTCTGCAATAAAAACATTGTTGCCATAGGAACGCTAATACCATTTCTCCCTAATTCACTAGAATAGAGGCTACGTCGACCGCCAGCCTTATTAAAGAAGGGAGCGGGGCTTAGGCATCACAACTTTGTGACGTAAACACAGGAAGGGGTTTCAAGTGGCATATTTCCAAACCCTCCTCGATCTCGGCACTCACGTACATGGCGGGTGAAGGCGCGTGAGAGTGTGAAACCACCTCGATATCGGCACCAGCCTCTCCTGCATGCATGAGGAGAGTGCAGGGAGCAAAAGACGCGATTACGCACGCCTCATCTCTCACACTCTAAGGTCCATGCCTGTTGGCAGGTTTGCTATAATTACGACACCGACGCGCGCTTTTCTCCTCCAATTCGGAGGAGAAAAGAGGGCGATGAATGTTGAATGACTGAATGAACAAAGATTGATATCTTTCATTCAAGTTGCACATGTAGCACCATTAAAGGGGGGGGGGGGTATAGGATCGAACAGTACAGAATTTCGCCATGTTTGGAGTTCAGTCCGTATCATGTTTTAGCCATTCTTAATAAATATGGAATAAAATATGGTTCATTTACAGAACCCCATATATGGTGCTAGGTTTGCAATGTATATAACACTAATGCAAATTATACGCAAAAAGACTGCAATTTGAATATATTTGGAAACTGTTCAGTCCATGTAATATTTTTTACCACGTTTATTTTACTGAAACAGTACTCCAAGCATACGACATGTAGGCCTCGCAACCCATTGTCCATTGCACAATGATACATTCCACCCGAACGTTAGAATATTTTTTCACCAATCATCTCCTTTGTCACTTGAGAGTTTTGACACATCGAATCAGTCTAGTTCAGTATAGTCTATGTTGTGTAGTCACGATTAGTTCAGGCAAGACGTTTGGAGCCCTATATCTCAACGTGTAATGACTGATATCGCCTTCGCGCCGAATAAGTTTAGGTACTTGACTATATCGAAAGATTCGGTGTGAAGGTCCCAAGAACCATGTTTATGTTGCTTTAACGTAAACTGAATGTAAATTTTTTGTCCATTTTATATCTAGATTATGCAAACCATCATCAAGATAATGTCAACATGTTTGCAGAAATGTCACCTCTGTAATACGTAAACGGTGATATAAAATTTACCTAAGTTTTACGTATAATTGGCATTCCCGTTTACATCCCCAACAGCACGTTTGCATTCATTTTACGTAAAATTGATGTTAATTTTCCCCTAACATTCCCGCGTATTTAACGAGCCAATTCGTACTTGCGAAGGGAATTAATACTGTATTTCTCCCATTCCAAACTTCGAAACTCAAGGTTACTTGGACGAGTATACTGGCACTCATCCTCACCAGAACGCAAGAGTACCAAAATGACTCACTAGTTCTTCCTCCCTCGCCAGGATCTCGGGAAGAGGAATAGATGTTTAGAGGAACTTAGTTTAGGATTCTACTCTTTCCTAATCCCGTGCACTGCTGTAATAGTAAGCTTAGCTTCAGCATTTAATAATTCCCGAGTAATATATTATTAAAAATATGCAATAATTTCCTGCTTTCCATATATATTTTCATGGATTGCATAATAAAAAGCGGAAGGCTGGTAAGAAAACCTGATACTATATCGGGAAAGCCAGTACTTAATAGCAATCGTAGGTGCAGGGAACAAGGGTTCCATCTAGTGAGAAATCTTTAGCATTGCAACTGTGGGATGGTCAGCTAAAGTTTCATATGGAAAGTATGATGTTAACTTTCCATAAACTTGATATCATGTACTTCATGTTAGATGGAGTCTTGTTTATGTAAAATACACGTACACTTTGGTGACGTAAATATA